GCAGGTAGGACTAGAGTCTTTATGAGGCCGTGAATACACCCCTATAATATCCTTGGCTTTTAGCAAATCCTATTATATAATGAGTAAACAATATCTTTTTAAAAAATGTTTCCTCCAAAATATTCCCTAACTAGATCATAGGAAAATATAAGAGATCTTTAAACCTGATAGTTTCAACTAAAACACACCAAGCACAAATTATTTCTTTGAATATGTTTTCATAGGTTTCCCTATGTGTTTTTCTTTTTCCTTTGAAACATAAGAACCCATATTGAGCGTTCATTGCACACATTTATTGTGTAATATTAGAAAATAGAGATGAACAAAAACACAAGCACTGGCATATAAGCCTTCTTGGGTACTGGGATTGAGCCCAGAGCCTTCACTCTGACTACCCCCCCACCCCACCCTCCTTTTAATTTTTAATTTTGAGACAGAGTCTCAGTAAGTCACTGAGTTTTCCAGGCTGGACTCAACTCCTGCTTCAGCCTCCCAGAGTTCTGGGAATATGGCTGTGTACCAGCACACCTGGCTGGCTGCTTCTTTGCCCTCTCCTTTCACCTCACTCACCCGCTACTCTCTGACCCGAGAGCCCTTGAAGGCAATCCCTGCTTGTCCTCGGCCTCAGCAAATGTTTGTGTAAGGAAGTAGGCACAGGCATTCTAGTCTTTGGGCACCACTCAGGAGTGTGCGTTCCTCACGAAAGAACCCAGATAAAACAGAAGACTGAGGAATAACAGAAGTGTGGTTCTGTTTGCAACGTAGAGAGGGAAAGAGCAAAAGACCTCACTGAAATACAGAAAGAGCGCCGTGGCCAGCCGGGGACAGGGAGGTGTGTTTGATCCCGGATACGAAAAGCTGCCCTGAGTGATGATGGCTCGGCTGCTGTACTTAACCTGGATCCCGGGTTGTGAAGGGAAGTGGGGAAAACACAGATGTCCATGCGGATGCAGGATTTGTCTGGGGCAAGGCAAAAAGGGGTTCTGTGTAAACTGCACCAGGCGTGGTCCCTAAGGCTGGTCTACTTCCTGTGAGCTGGGGTGGCAGTGTCCCCTGAGAGTGTGGAGAGAGCACAGGTAGGTGCTGACATGCAGGGCTCCCCGTACATGCCACCTGCTGCCCTCTGTGGGACCCAGGCCTTCGGGTCTGTCACAGTGGGGCCCAGGCAGGCGCACAGAATAACCCGATGTCCATTCTATCGGACTCAGGCTCGGAGGTCAGAAAACAGCTGACCTCAGGAGGTACCACTGATGTGGAATTTAAGTCATTACTTAAGACACCTCAAAGAGAGGATTAAAGAGGGGGAATTGGAAACCATGATACCCAACTGGTAAACACAGAAGTTGTCTCTTCTGGATTACTGAGAGGCCAAAGACAGCCAGTATCAGTTAGCTTTATGTCATTGTCACTGGATCTCAGGGCTGGGCCGGCCACAGCGGGGCTGCTGCGTTCCCCTTCTCCCAGGAGGCTCATCACGGCACACCTCACAACACAGACTCCGCCCTGCCTGGTCCCCTCCCTCCTGTGGCCGATTTCTTCCTTCCCAAACCCTGACATTTGATGATGTGATTAGTATTGTTTCATATTTTTATTGTAACATTAAACTGTGTTCACAGATTCCAAGTCTGATTAGTCGGCTGCTTACTTGGCATTACGTTCTGCTTACTATTTTACAAAAGCAGAAATACGCATTCATCGCATTCTGGAGATTAGGCAGCGACGTCCAGGAGGTTTATCAGGGACTTGGGTGGACAAATGGGAGCTGTGGAGCAGCACAGAGTCAGGGCTCAGCGGAGCTCGGCAGGCTGGGCCAAAACCAACAAGAGGGAGGGGGTTTGGTGGTGATTGATGCTAAGTCTGGTTAAGTACACGTGGAAGGGAGCTGGCTCCACGTCCTGGTTTGGAAGAGGAAATTATCTTGAAGAATAACACTTGCTGACATTTGTTGAGACATTCACCAACTACATTTTTTGAAGTGCTGTAAGATTTTTATGTGTTGTTTTATTTAAATCCTGCTCGGGTAATGATCAGCTTTGGGTAGATGGATTTTAGAAAGGTTAAGGAAGTTACCCAGATTCAAACTGCTTTTCACCATTAAGCAATATCACCTCCGTGGTGAGGTCTAGTCCATGGTATGGCTGAAAGTGGAGGGAGGGCGGGTGGAGGGTAGAAGGGAGGGAGGAGACTTAGGTATCATCAGAAGAAGGACAGCCTCAGGGACAGCGTGTGGTCTTCTGAGAGACAGGTTGTCTTCTGGACACTATTTTTTAAGATTAAAATGTTGTTTAGACTCAGCTGTGTGCGGAGGAGCACAGTCATGGAGGAGCGGGTGCCAGGGAATAAAAGGCGCCGTGGAGACACAGCCAGAGCCTGCAGGGCTTGGGGAAGCTTGAGGGGACTCTTCTGGGGGTGCAGTCCATGGCTAGAGGGCTGGAACCTCATTCTAAGCAAAGGCACAAACATATCTTTACAGAACTGGCCCTGGGGCACTGCTTTCTCCTCAGCAGAGTTGTTTTGGAATGTGTGTGTTATCCTCATGCTGCTAGTATCACAGGGAAGACAGGAGACCTGGGTGGAGACCTGGGATAGTATTGCTCCTCAGTAATAAAGAATGTGGGTGAAGGGCAGGAGGACTGGCTGGTAGGAAATAGCATTGGATTTTCCAATTAAAATCCAAACATTTGAATGGCCAGGGAGAGGAGAAACCCTTGAGGACTCCTCTTGAGATTCTATTTTCTCTTTGTCTTCTTAGAGGGAAAATATTTTACTGGTCCAATTAGAGAAACCAAGTGCTTGCATTTTATAACATGCTGATTTTAATTATTTTAGAATCAAGTTTTTTGTAAGTAAAGGTGGAGAAGTTATGGAAAGAAACCTGATTCTAACTCTACATGGACACGTGGGATAGTGGGAATAAAAACAAATTAAAACAATATTGCAAAGAACTCTCAACTTCCATTTAAAAATATATATGATGATATTTTTCACCTTTTCACATTCAACCTATTGGTATATCAAGTGACAAAATGAAAAATCGATTTCAGCTGTGTGTATTTTAAATCTTTACCTAATGATTTGGACTTACCCAACCTAAACATCCAGATGAACATATTAAACTGCTTATTGTATTTTTTATGAATTAAAACTTTACAGTCTATATTATGTTAGTGTAGGCCACAGTTATGTTTGGTGACATTTAAGGGTAGAAAATTGAACTGAACAGTGGTCTAATTAGAATAGTAAATAGTATGGGTTTAATTAGCTCCTGTTCCTGATGACAGATTTGATCCATTGCCAGATATTTACCCTTGCCTTATACTTGACTGTTGCTGAAATATTGCCTCTACCAGGGCTTCGTACTGTGCTATAAATAGGTAGCTTGGCAAGAGGCCATCAGACCTGCTGACCATAGAGATTTGAGTGAAAATGATTGGAAAACCACCTCTTTGCTTCCAGTCATTATTTCTTCATTTCAGCTTTGAAGGTCCTTTCTTCAGATCCCTCTAATTTAATTTTTTCTTTTTTGGGTGAATGAGGTAATTTGTCTACAGGCTTAAAGAAACCTGTCTGGTTCCATCTCAGGCTGCAGCTTATTACATGTCATGGCTTCCTTCATAAACTTTTCCATTCTCCAACCAAGAACTTAGAGACTTGAACTTTCCTGTGTGCCAATAGAATGCGGTATTTGTTTATTTGCTGGCTTGTTTTAATGAAGGTATTGTATATTTAATTTTTTTTAAAGATCCTGCAACATACAGAAAAACAAAAACCAAACTGAAATATTAAAATCACTCCAAGCTCTTTCACCTGGAGGTAATCACTATAAGACTTTAATTCTCCATTCTTTCTACAGATATACATTTATTTGACCTGTATTAAAAATTATACAGGCTTGTGCGTGTTGTTGCCTAATGGTTGCATTTTACCATAAAAATATTTTTATAAAGAAATTCTAAGACCTATGGAAGTTCAGAGGGTAACAAGACTGGAATTCGTGATCATGTCACCTGGCTTCATGGAATTCACTATTAGGACGTATTTGCTTCTAGCCTTTTTCTTAGGGTTGAGGGACACACACCACTCAAGGTTCTTTTTGTGTCTCTCCCCAACAGCATTTGCCATAGTCCCGCCCTTCTGTTCTTAGAGGTGACTGGACTGTGTCCTTTTAGCCAATCACATGCCTTTTACTGCCACATTTTTATGTGCACGTTTGTAGATTTTTGTCTTTATCTGTAAATGAAAAGACAGAAAAGACTATTTTGTGTTCTTGTGTATCAAACCTTCTAGTATTTTCCTTCACTGATTCTACCCTATCCAGGGCAGTCTTTCCTATACTAATTCTATGTGACTGGTAACCCATAATTTTCTAGTATTTTATGGCTCCAGTATTTTAATATAAATTTCTAATAAATCTGGAATTATTTTTGACATGTTTTGTGATGTTATCAATGATTTGGGGGGTCTATTTCTGGATTCTCATTAAAATGTAATGAATCTGATTACTTATTGCTATTCTATATTGTTTTTGTTGTGTGAAGTGCTCTCTCCTTTCCGTTTGGTTTTTTTCTCTCTCTCTCTCTCTCTCTCTCTCTCTCTCTCTCTCTCTCTCTCTTTTGGTACCAGGAATCAAACTCAGGACCTTGTGCTTGCAAGGCAGGCACTTGTGCCGCTGTATCCCTGGCCTCCCTTTCCGTTTCTTTCTAATTGACTTAAAAAAAAAACAAATCACGTGATATAAGATCTAACTTAACAAATTTTGAAGTCTGTAGCACACTAGTATTAACTGTAAGAACAATGTGTTATAGCAGATCTCTGCAGCTCTTTTCTTTGTATGGCTGAATATACCCATTTAACAATTCCTGCCATAGGCCCTGGTGATCACCATGCTATTTTCTGCCCCAGTGAGTTAGATGACCTTAGACATCTCCTGCAAGTGGGATTATGCAATATCTGTCCTGTGACTTGCTGTGTTGGTGATTTTTATTTCCCTTCACATCTAGACCTCAAGAAATGCTCACTCAGAGGAAGACAGAGATGGTAACTGGGACGCATGGGGTGACTGGAGTGACTGCTCCCGGACCTGCGGGGGAGGCGCCTCCTACTCTCTGCGGAGATGCCTGACAGGAAGGTCAGTGGTGGCCAGGCCAGCTGCTGTGGAGGGTTAGCACCAATGGATGGGGAAGTGGGGAGACCGCTCGACTTTGCCTTGGGATATACTCGTATGGCACCTGCTATGTCTAAATATTAGCCTCAAGTTACCATATTTAGATGATAATGGTCCTGTTTTCAAGGGTGGGGCTATACCTCATCTGCCCGACCCTCATGGCACTCACAGCACTTGGCTGTGAGGGAGGGAGCCGGCCGTGTTAAGTCACTGGCTCAGTGTTGTCAGGGTTTGGGGAAGATGTCCCCTCTTCTGAGTGCTGCCTTTGAGTGGCTGCTATTTTAATTCATTTCTCATTCGCTTACTCTGAGCAACGTATTGACTAAGAAGGTAATGTACATTCTATTTTCACATCTTAAATACGTTTATGTTAAACTATGTTTACTAAAATGAATCTTGTAAATATAAACATTTTAAAGGTCCATAAGTTTGTACCAAGCTTGCACTTGCTGTTTTTTTTTTTTTCTTTTTTTTTAAATTCATGGGACCATTTAAATCTGAGCCAAGGATTTTACTTCAATTCATGGGTAAGGCAGAGCCCTGGGTTCATGGGACCTGACATCTTGGTCCCAGGCAACGGACCCTGGCGGCCATCTTCGGATGTGGGATTTTGTCAGGTGAGCAAATTTTCACTGCTCATTCTCCAGCTATGGAGAATGCATTTCTCCTCTATAACTAGTTCATAGTCCATCAAGGTTGCTATTTATGGTGCATTAACAGTGACCAAGTAAGTCCCACAGTTTCTTTGAGGCAGTACAGAGCAGGGCAGTTGAACAACTCCCCAGGGGGACTTTGAAAGGGAGGTATCATTTGTCTACTGAGAAAGGCATGGTAGGAGCCTCATCCGGGGGCAAGCTTCAGGAAATGGCTACAGCAGTGAACTCAGGGTTAGTCTCAGCAAGACAGCTTTACCAGTGGACATTCACAGCCTTTGCTCACAGCCTTTGCTCCAGCACCAAACAAACGCTCTTTATACCTTTGGTGTGGGTGAGGAGTTAACACTCTCAAATTCAACTAACACATGTCCAAGCCACATGCTTGTATTAGTCATCTTCCTCATTGCTAAGAGATGAGAACTTGACACAATTTAAAGGAAGAGAGGTTTAATAGGGATCATGATTTCAGGTATTCAGTCCATGGTAAGCTGGCTCCAAGGCAGAAACATCAGGGCAGAAGGGTATAGTGATGCAAACTTCTTAGTTCACAGCAGCCAGGAACCAGAGCAAAGGAACAGTGTCAGAGAGGAAGGGACAAGGGACCAGACATAGACCCCAAGGCCATTCCTCCATGACAACCCAGACACATGCAGCAGTGTGTTCTGTCAGTCCCCTCTCCCCCAAACTCAAAGCCAATAAGGTTGCTGCTCCAGTGCTTCTCACAGTCTAAGGAGACAAATAATGAACCAGGAAGCATCAGGTTACATATAACCAAGAATTGTCAAGAGGATGGGAAGAGTGGTGATGTTAGTCCTCTCTGCTGGGGAGTGTTTACACTGGGAATTTATTTACTACTGGGAGGAAGTCAGTCATGTGAAAGGAAGGGCTATGAGAAAAAATTTCAGACAGTGGAAAGAGTAGATGCGAGGTTCCTGGGGAAAGACATGGAAAGAGGTTTTTAAGCCTGGAGAGCAGCATGAAGGAGAGAAAGCAAAACAGGCCAGTGTTGAAGAAGAAGGCAGGTTTGTAGGCAAGAGTAATAATTCTAATTCAGAAAATCATCATTCGATGATTTTTTCCAAGGTACAATTATGCAGAAATAATTGTCTCAGAATTATGGAGACACCACTGCATCACCACATAATATCAAGTAGTATTTATGAAGAAGTCAGAACCATTCTGAGTATTTTTCCTTTTTCCTCCTTGCTGTAAGAGCATTCATCTATAATTTGATTGGGATTGCATTAAATCTGTATAACAGTTTTGAGAGTGTGGCCATTTTCACTATATTAGTTCTTCCTACCGAGAACAAAGGATATCTTTTCATTTTGTGATATCCTCTTTTATCTCCTTTTTCAGAGTATTGTAGTTTTCAATGTGAAGGTCTCCTGATTCCTAGGTATTTCATTTTTTGGGACTCTATTGTAAAAGGTGTTGTTTTCCTAATTTCTCTCTCAGTGAGTTTGTTATTTGTGTACAGCAAGGATATTGATTTTTGAGTGTTGACTTTGTGTCCAGCTACAGAGAAAACAATTCTGAAATTCATTTGGAACCACCAGAGACCTAGAATACCAAGGCAATTCTGGGCAACAAAGGCAAAGCAGAAGGCATCACAATCCCTGACTTGAAACTATACTACAAAACTACTGTAATTAAAAAAATAGCACGGTGCTGGCAAAAAACAGACCCAAGGATCAATGGAACAGATTGGAAGATGCGGAAACAACTCCAGACACACTCAGCTACCTTATCTGTGACAAAGGGGCCAGACACCTTTACTGGAAGAAAGATAGCTTCTTTAAAAAAGGTGCTGGGAAAACTGGCTTTCTGCTTGCCAAAGAATAAACCTAGATCCATGTTTCTTACCTATACTAAACCAAAATTGAAATGGATCAAAGATCTAAATATTAAAACAGAAACACTAAATCTGCTGGAAGATAGAATAGGGAGAACTCTTGAAGATACTGGTGTAGGCAAAGATTTTATGAACAAAACCCAGACCACAAGGGAAGTATCACAAAGAATCAACAACTGGGATCTCATCTTATTAAAAAGCTTTTGCACAGCAAAACAAACAAACAAATCCATTAACAGAGCGAAGAGACAACACATAGCTTGAGAAAAAAAATTTCCTGCTGTTTCTCAAACAGAGGACTAATATGTAGAATATATAAAGAACTAAAAAAAAAAAATCAGACCTCCCCAAATTTAAAGACCCAATCCAAAAAACAGGCATCTGAAATGAATAGATATTTCTCAGATGAAGAAACAAAAACAGCAAATAAGTATATGAAAAAACATTAGGCATTACTGGTCAGTTGAGAGATGCAAATTAAAATAATGTTTATATTCCATGTCACTCAAAACAGAATGGTTACTATCAGGAAATCAACCAGTTAGGGGCTGGGGATTTAGCTCAGTGGCACAGCACCTGCCTGGCAAACACAAGGTCATGAGTTCGATTCCCGGTACTGGAAACACTGCCCCCCGCCCGACAAAATAAAGAAATCAACCAGTTAGAAATGCAAGGCTATGAGGAAAAAGTAACCCTTCTCCACTGTTGATGGGAGTGTAGACTCATGCAACCACTGTGGAAATAAGTGTGGTGATGCCTCAGAAAACTAAAATTAGAGGTTCCATTTGACCCAGCTATTCCCCTTCCTAGTATCTTTTGGAAAGGATTAAAAGCCTCATACCACAGCAATGTATACATATCCATGTTTAAAGCAGCACAGTTTGTAATAGCCAGATCTTGGAAACAGCCCAAATGCCCATCAACCAATGAACAGATAAAGAAGATGTAGCTTTTTACATAATGGAGTACTACTCTGCCATAAAGAAGGATAAACTTGAGACATTTCTAGGTGAGTGGGATACACCTTGTGACCATAATCTTAGTGAAATAATTGGGACACATATGTTTAAATATGGCATTGTGAGAAACCAAAAGGGTAAGTAAGAACCAAAATAGATATTGGGAAATGAGAAGAAAATATTGAAAAGGGGAGGTGTAAGGGAAAAAGAAAGGAAGGAAGGAAACAGGAAAAAGAGAATAGGAAGAAAAATGGAAATAAAGCTTTTGTAAATAAGGAGGGAAAGGGGTTTGAAGGAAGGGGGGAATTGGAAAAAAAGAAGCAAGATATATCATTTACAGGTACAAGTTCCCTGTGACAAATGGTATCATTATGTATATCTAAAATGTATCAATAATAAATAATAAATAATAAATAATAAATAAATTTTAGTAATAAAATTAATTTTGAAAAAAGAACATTCATCTGGCTTGAGTGGACTGAAATTTCATGCTACCCTGTCTTTGTGTGAGTCTATATTCATCCATTGTGTTGGACACCTGATGGACTCATCCACTATGAAGATTCATTGCCTTCAGTCTTAAATTATTTATTACATGATTTATTCTTATTTTCCTCTTTTGTTGTCAAAACTCCTACCATTCAGATATTAGATCGAGTTTTCTGTTTGTCCATTTATCCTGCTTTATAGGAGATTTACCTTATTTTCCCAGTATCTTACTAAGTATTTTCTACATAGAATTTCCTACTTTGTGTGTGTGTATATATATATTCTTTTTGAGATATATTTTCCATGAAAATTTAAAAACAGCAGTCATTCCTTGATTCTGTTTTATCTTTGAGGATATGAACAGACTTCTGGGAGGAAGTTTTCTTTCTGTTTTTCTCAGTTCTGTCCAAGTTGTTTTTGTTTAGTCACTGGTCACTGCGTTTTGTCTTAGATCCTTCTCTAAGGTTTCTGATGACCTTCGTTTGTATTTAAGGAAAGGAGCTTTGAGCTTACCTGGGGAGGCATGTGCTAGTCCATCTGTGTTTGATGTTGCTTCTGGGTGTTCTAGTTCTCAATACCCTGGTTTCTTGGAAAAGTTTCTTCTGGTTCTAACATCCAAGAGCCAAGTGCAGCAGAAAGCTGGGGTCTCAAGACAGATCAATTTGGATGTAATCCCTGCTTCCAACATAGAACCCTTGCCATTTTTTGTACCCAGTTATTGCTCAGGCCAGAGGCTTCTATTTATACTTTGGAGATAACAATACCCAATCTGTTGAGGTAAGGAAGAGGAGCCAGTCTCACTGTTTCTGATCCCAGCTTTATCCCACTTTCAGAAGGGGGTCTGATGTACTATTTCTGGAGCTTTCTGTGAGTTCTGAAGAGCAAACTGAGTTGCTACTAGTAATTCCCCACTGCCGTCTTAGGGCTTACCTTTTTTTAGTCTGTGAAGTCCAAAAATACACTTAATATGAAATACATAATTCAAATAACCCCATAACTATTTCAGAAGTTGAATTTGTAACTAACATTTCTGTCTTTCTAAATGGTGTCCAGGCCCAGATTGTTTCACTGGCAAATTCCATCAAGCATTTATAGAAGAATTTACAAAAATTCCATATTATTTATTCCAGAAAATAAAACAAGAGGGAAGAATTCCCAATTCATTTTATGAATCTAGTATGACTCTAATCCCAAAGCCAGAGAAAGACTAAACAAAAAACAAAACTACAGACCTAAGTATCTTGTGACTATAGAAATAAATATTAAGAAAATAGTATCAACTACTATCCAGATGTATATAAAAATTGTACATCAGGACTGAGGGAAATTTATTCCAGGGACATAAGGCTGGTTTGGTATGTGAAAGTCAGTCACTGTAATCCAGCCAGTTAACAGGCTAAAGAAGAAAATATTCATAAGGGTCATATTGATTTATGCAGAAAAAACACTAGAAAAATGTTGACATAAATTCATTATGAAGAACTCTGAGAGAAATAGGAATGGAGGGGAAGTTCCTCAGTCTAAATACCTGGAATGATATTTACACTTACAGTGAAATACTGAATGCTTTCTCTCTCAGATCTGTTCCCCCCACTCTTTATCAACAGAATGTTGAAAGTTATACCCAGTGTAATAAGGCAAGAAAAGAAAATAAGAAAACTGGGCGGATAACATTTTTGCCCATGCAGAAAATCCCAAAACCTACAAAATACCTTCTACAACTAAAAAGTTAGTTTAGCAAGGTCCAGAAGACAGAATAAACATACAAACGCTATTGTATTTCTCTTACTAGTGGCAAACACATAGACATCAAAATTTATGATAGAATAAACACCATTTATAATCACTCAAAAATGTCTAATACCATATCTATCTGAATATGTGCGGGATTGCAAAGTGCTAATGAAAGAAATTAAAATCGAAATAAATGAGAGACATACTTTGTTTATTGGTTTTGTGACCACAGAGTAGAGATATTATTTCTCCCTAAAGTGACTTACTAGTTTAACCCAATTCCTCTTAAAATCCCAGCAAAATGTTTTTATAGATATAAACAAGATTTTTCTGTAGAAAAAGATAGAACTTAGAATAGCGAAGATAATTTTGAAAAAAATAGTACAGCAGAAGAATCATTTTGCCTAGGATGAAGGCTCATTACTGTATACAGCTATAGTAGTCAAAGGACTGGTGTTAGCAGAGGGATAAATGCAGAGATCAATAGGAGAAAATATTTGCAAACCACATATCTGATGATGGCCCAGGATGTATAATAAGAACTCTTTAAAGTAATCATTAAAAAAGAAACTATTAGTAGATGAACAAAAGACATGAGGAGATATTCATGAACAGATATTTTAATATTACTGGAGAGATTTACAGAGGGCAAATAAGCATATGAAATGTCATTCAGCAGTGCTGTCTATGAAGGAAATACAAACTGAGGTATTGTTACATAACTATTATGCTGTCTAAGAAAGAAAACAGGTGACAATATGAAGTACTGGCAAAAATGCAGAAAAACCAGATTACTGATATCTTAGTAATGGGAACATACATTATTTCATAAATAAAACATAAATTAAAACATAAATTAAACATAAATTACATAAATTAAAAATATACAACTACTATACAACTCAGTCCTTGCATTTCTGGGCATTTATCCCAGAGAAATGACAGTTATCACATAGTGAATGGACCTGAATGTTTATAGATGCTTTCTTTAGAACATCTACAAAGTGGAAGCAACCTAGATACCCTTCCTTAGGTGAACAGTTAATTCCACAACATTAAACAGAAACCGTCAGTGCATGAAACATCCTGGGTAAATCTCCAGAGAATTACGATGAAATTTTTAAAAAGCTAATCTCCAAATATCACATACTACATGGTTCTGCTTCTGTATGTTACTGACATGACAAACATGATAGAAATGGAGAACAGATTAGTAGTTGCCCAGTGGAAAGGAAGAGGTGGGGAAGCTTTGATGGTCCTTGTGATAAAAGAAGAGTTTTATACCTAAACTGTATTAATGCCACCACCCTCACTATGAGAGTCTTGCAAGATATTATTATTGAAGCAAACTGGGTAGAGTTGAGACCTTCCCTTCTCTCCCCTTCTATCTTTTTTCCTCCCTCCCTCCCTCCCTCCCTTCCTGCCTTCCCTCTCTCCCTCCCTTCTTCCTATCTTCCTTCTTTTATTGTTTTTGGTACTGGAGACAGAACCTAAGGCTTCCACACTGAACTATATCCCCAGAAACCCCTCTCCCATTTTAAAAAAAATTTAAGACAGAATCTTGCTAAGTCACTAAGTTGCCCAGCCTGGACCAGAATTTGGGATTCTCTTGCATCAGCCTCCCAGACTATGGAGATTACAGACATAAGCCACCACACTGGTGACATTGTCTTTTATAAAACCATGTGGCTTACAGTTCTTTTCAGGTGAAAGATTTTATTTCACAAAAAGATATCCAGAAATTCAAGTTAGGATGTGAATCCTTTTAAAAGTAAACCTACAAGAAATTGAGGGAAATCCACACAGCCAAACTCAGAGGAAACTGAAGGCCAGTCCTGTAAGCACGTAACTGATTCCCCAGTGATGGAGAATAGACTTGCTGATCTCTAGAACTCAGGCTCCTGAATTTTTGTTCCTTCATAATCATAGGAGAGCAAGTCTTGAGTGTATGTGAAGCACAGCTTTGGAGCTGTGGCCCCTAAATAAAGTAGAGCACTTGAAGGTCATACACTAACTAAACAGATGGACTCGGGAAAAACATACACCAGGATAAGGAGGTTGAATATCTTAATTCCGAACAGAAGGAAGGTTTGCATTTTGGAACAGTGGACCTGTTCTCCCAAGTTTGAAGTCTGTTGATCTATCCATGTTGTATATATGAAGTATGTCGACTGTGTATATCACACACAATTGTGGAAGGTTTGAGATGAGCATATTAACCTAAAAAGTGACCTTGTGACCTGTGATAACTCTGTAGTGACAGATCAAGCCAGGCTGAGCAGGATTCTTTTGGTAGAGCCCTGGGTCTTCAAAGTTCACAATCCTGAAATACGCAATACATGAGGTAATTTTCTATTAGGGTAAGCCGGCCCAGCAGTGATGATTTAAGGGAGAAAAGTCATTCATTTATGAAAATAGCATTTGATAAAAGTAATACTTATTCACTACTGAAATCTTAGCAAACTAGGAATATAGATGTCATCCTTCATAGAAAAATGTCACTTACATGTTTTTTAACATTTGGTGTGAGATGAGTGTCTACTGTCATTAAATATTCTTTACTGTACTTCAGGTCCTAATCGGTATTGTAACACAGGAAAAAAATAAAACAAGGTATGAGGATTAGGAAAGAAATAACTCTCATTATCCAAAGACTACAGAATTGTGTCAGTAAAAAAACCAAGAGCACCTATACATAAAGTAACAAGACTAATAAAAGTTCATTGAAAATTGATAGAAACAAAATGAAGGCACAAATAAATGTTCTCTTACACAGACAGTAGTGAAAACTAATTAGAAAACAAAATTTCAAAAAGGTGAAACTTATACTGTTAACAAAATATAAAGGACCTTGTCATAAAGTCAACAAAAGTTATATAGACTTACATGAAAGCTTTTAAAAGCACATCTAAATAAATGGACCAACATGATATGATCATAAATAGGAAGTCTCAGCATCATAAAATGCCAATTCCTCCAAAATTAATCTTTTAATGAAGGGTCATTCCAATTCTAATAACCATATGGAGATACGGAGGTAATGAAAACAAGTTTTTAAAAGAACAAAACGGGAAACATGCATAGACAGTAAAATTTTAAAATTTAAGTACAGTAGTGGCATGGGCAGAAATAGATCACTGTCGCAAAACTGAGTGCCCATAAATAGTTGAACTGAAAACTCAAGCTGCAAGTTATACATGATATACCACACACTTCTTAGTTACCTCTTCTGTTTCTGAATTAGTATTTGCTTAACTTTTTCATTTTTTAAGACTTATGTAAAGTTGTTCAGTCTACTTATATACCCATCTTAGCCTGGATTCTGAAATTTGCTTTTAGGCCTGAGACACTCCAAATTCCCCTCTTCCTGAGCTTATCTAATTTGAACAAATGCGTGAGGCTAGAAAGCATCCTACTGCACATATACATGTAATTAATAAGTGAGAGGCGAGTGGGTGGCAGTGTATGTCACCTTTTAAGCCTGGTTCCTGGTGTGGGCCATGACATGGACTTGTCCACTTGTCCAGTGTCTAAGAAACGAGCGGTGACATCATTTTCCTGCATAAAAATGAAATTAAAAAAGAAAAGCAGATTTTTTTAATAATGCAAACATTCCTGCTCCCTGCCTTTTAGGCAGCTGCAACCCTAATCATTCTTGACCCGTGCCCATATTCAAAACTCTCATTGTCATTTTGGAAGTGCTCCGAAATCTTTAAAAAGGAAACTTTCCCTTGGAAGGCTTATCTTTATCCTTGAGCAGCCGTAGAGGCTTAGTAAGTCTTCATAAATATTGGGCACTTGCGGTCAGTTTTTCTTGGAAGAGGGATACGGAGATGATTACATATGAAACTAAACAAAAAGTCATCCCAAAGCTTTAGAAAGCATTTCAGTGCTTCTCTCTTATCAACCTGCTCCTTTAAATTCATCATTTAAGGAAGGGGATGAACGTAGCTTACTCTGCTCATTTATTTCTTTGCGGATAAAGTTATTTCAGAACTTGATTACATCTGAGTACTTAAGTCACTTCTCTTGCGCCACAAACCATATGCCAGCCAGAATGTCTCTTTCTCTTGCAAAAAGTTGTAACTTAATATTCCAGTCCAATACCAACCATGGGAAATACAGGTTTAACGTAACTACTACTTTAAAAATTAATATATTTTTATTCTTCAAAACACATGCTTCTCAGTCTTTATGACACTATTTGAGTCAACATATCATATAAATATAATAAATTATAGTGCTATAAACTCTAAGCAAACTTTATTAATGTTTTTAATGTATCCTCATATGGAATCAACATATGTTTTTCATATATTCATAAATTTATGACTTCAAAAAATCTTCAATTTCAGGATGCTGTGAGTGTTGTAGTGGATAGAAAATTTCTAATTGTGAAATGATGTTTTTGAATTTTTATATTCTCCTGATAGCCATTAGCTCTTGCATATACTAATTAGAATGATATTAAAAGCTTGCAAGTAATATTTCTGCAGCTTAGTTGCTTTGGGCCACGGGAATTATTTCCAGAATAAGCTGGCAGGTTTCTGCTTGGAGAATTAGGACTCCAATGTCCTTAACTTTAAAATAACTTGCATTTCATTTTATGCCTGTTTCATAAAGTAGTCATTCATTTTCATACTAAATTGTAACCAAAGCATGCCACATCAGGGGCATCCCACATAGGGGCCAGTCAGAGGTTCAGTGTGTGCTGCATTGCATAAAGTGGAACAGAACGTTAAAAGCTGGTGGCCAGAGGATTGGTTTAAAAAACCTTGCAAGTAATTTACAAGGGGAATGGAGAGTTAATCTCCTTGCATCTTTACATCCATATCCGGGTATGTAGTAGGTCAACCCAAAATGTTGTTGAAGAAGGAATGAGTCCAAAATAGTGCCTTATAGTTTGAGAATTCATGCAATTAAATGCTTTCTTTTCCATATTACTTTGCTGTGGTTGCAGTGGGATTTATAGTGGAAATGCACTTACTATTTAGGTTTAGAATTTTTTAGGCTAAAATTTTTAGACTGAATACTCACAAGGCAAAGTAGTGACTCATGGATACTCAACTTTCAATTGGAGCACAGCAGGTGGCAGTGGAGTGTAGGCCTAGTCTACACAGTAGGCCTGAGATATGGCCATGAGATACCTTTGAATGATGTTCGTTTCTTACCTTTTTGCATAGATTTATTTTTACAAAAATAATTTTTACTCATGGATCTTATTTACTCTTTCAGTTTCTCACACTAAGGAAACAATGTGATGTTTACATGTGCAATTTTGATTTTAGTTGTGTTTTCTTTCCTTTATCAATTTTAACTTAAGATGGTGAGCTCTTTTGGATGGAATACCCAATTACTAAAAACTATACCTGTATTTTAAACATATATACATTTACTTTATGCATATTTATTGATTTTATGTTATGCATTTTAATAGAAATTCATTTTATTTCCAGAGCTACTGCATATTTTCAGACTATTATTTTGAATACTGCTTTCATCCTTGTAATGTCTTTAATTCTGAGGTTATACTTCCCTTTCTCTATATCCACGATTTTAGTGAGTATGGTCTCTAGTTGCATCTGTTTACCTCTAAAGCCTCAAGTTTATCTTTTTTATAGCTGAGTAATACTCCATTGTATAAAAATACCACATCTTTTTTATCCATTCATCTCTTAATAGACATTGGGGTTGTTTCCAAGATTTAGCTATGACAAATTGTGCTGCTATAAACATGGGTGCACATATATTGCTATGATAGGATGTTTTCATTTCTTCTGGAAAAATACCCAGAAGGGGAATAGCTAGGCTGAATGAGACCTTATATTTTTTGATCACTTTTGCATGCCTGTACCCGGTAATCTGAGCAACTACTTTGAAGATACCAATATACAATATAATAAGCATTTTTAGTTTCCTATCATCTTGTTTTGAAATTCTGTATTGTTTTTATTGTTGTTTGGTCTTTTTTGTCTTTTAAAATGAAAAAAATTTTAAATAATAATTTTTACTTAAATAGCTGAAGTTAAACAATTACTAAAATGCATCTGAAAAATTATTCCTAAGTTTCTAAGACACTTTCTAAAGAAAAGGCTATTTTTAAATGTTTCAACAGTTTTTTTACCCTGTTATTTCTATCAACTTAATCTCTTTATCTGTATCTCTTTAATTTGCCAGTCGCTTTGAAATTCGAATTGAAAGTGCTTTAGGACTATAAGTCAGTATGGTACAAAAAGCTCTTGGTTATCACTTTCCCAATCTATTAGCAGCTTTCCTCTGTTGGGGCTTTTCCAAAATAAGCATAGTAGCTTAAATTACCCTCTTTCACTTTTCCTGCTATTTATTTTCTCTTTATCCACACAAAAAGCAATATGAAATAAGACTTGTAAGTGAATGACCTTATCCACAGGCACAGCTGTTGTTCTCCAGCAAAATGGGGTCATGTCCCATAGGCCAAGAGAAAGATTTCACCTTAGTACAGCTTTCTTGGCATCCTCCCAGTTTGATGCTTCTTGAATGTTTAAAATGTAATGTGGTCTCATCAAGATTTTAATAAATATCAGAATAATATATCTATGACAAGTCAAAGAATTAGAAATGTATAGTTGCCAACTGTTAAGGTTTAGTTAATCCCATTGATAATCTGGGAAGATGTTCTAAGCCTGAGAAGGAGCAACTAATTGAATACACTGTCTTCAAGTTTAGAAATTTAACTCCCATTTGGATAGTGCTTTTGGAGGCAGCTATAGTGCTGTTCTTTTCACTCCAAAACTTCTTTCTTCCAAAGCCTTCTAAATCCAGTTAGGATTGTACCTCCCAGAAAACATAAACTATTAGGACACTCAAGGGGGGTGTTACAAATGGAACAGGAAATATAATGTGACGTTGGTATAGAATGAAAATGGAGAGGGGTAATTTTTTAGGACCGCACAGAAAAAAAAAGTGAAAATCAGAATTAAAAATTACACAAGCACAATAAAATACTAAATAATTATGACAGAAAAATAAAATCAGTCATTGGAAGGAATAGCTGAAGAAGAATTGCTGGTAGCAGAAAAGGCATTCTATCAAATGAGCTCATTATAAGAGAAAATTATGGACAAATTGATAAAGAAATCATGGGTATAGAGAAAGGAAAGTATAACCTTGGAATTAAAGACATTACCAGGATGAAAGCAGTATTCAAAATAATAGTCTGAAAATATGCAGTAGCTCTGGAAATAAAATGAATTTCTATTAAAATGCATAACAAAATCAATTAATATGCATAAAATAAATGTATATATGTTTAAAATACAGGTATAGTTTTTAGTAATTGGGTATTCCATCCAAAAGAGCTCACCATCTTCAGTTAAAATTGATGAAGGAAAGAAAACACAACTAAATACATCCTAACTTATAACCTTTACTTCAAATACTAACAAATCAAAGCAAAATAAACAAAATTCTCCAGAAAGAAAAAATAAAACACATATGCAAAAGAATAAAAACCAGACTTCTCCTCTGCAAATCTGAATGTCAGTGGTTAGTGCAGCATGTCTATAGTTTTGAGGAAAAAGGATTGTGTAAATAGTAATACCATATCAGGTGCAACTCCTTATCTATGTGAAATACACAGGTGCAGTAATATGCCAACCATATGTCCTTCTTGAAAAAGCAAACAATTAAATAAACCTTGGACAACCTGGAGTTAAACTCTCACATATAAAAAAAACCACAAAACAACTGAAATGTGTTAGCTATTTTTAATTTGTGTTCTAAATATGGACAAAAGTGAAACTATAAAGATGCTTAGCAAAATCATTTTATATTACATTAAAAAAACAAGCTGAGCAATCTTTTTTCTAGGTGCTGACCTAAAAGAAATGAAAACTTACATTCCCACAAAACCTGTATGTGAATGATTATAGCAGTTCTTTTTGTAATTTCCCCAAAATGGAAACAAATATGAAGCTAATGAATGATTAAATAAAATGCTGTATGCATAAACAGTAGACAACTTAGCAATTTAAAAGATGCAAACTAGTTATGTATGCAACAAGAATGAATTTCAAATGTATCATGCCAAAGAATAATACTGGCCTTTAAAAACTACATATTGTGTGATTCCATTTATATCATGTTCTGGAAAGGGCAGAATTATAGGTGCAGAAAACAGTGGTTGCCAGGAGCCAAGAGTAGGGAGGATTTGACCACACAGGGCAGGATGATGGCATCTTTAGAGGGGATGGAACCCTTCCAAGTATTGATTAGTGGTTACACTGCTGTGTGGGTTTGTCAGAACTCAAATTGTAGGTGCCTCCTCATGAAACTTTAAAAGTAAGAAACAAGTGACATTACCACAATAGGCAACAGCTATACAACAATGTAAATGTAGTTAACAAATACTCATTTATATTCTTAAAAATGCTTAAATAAATGCAAAGGAACTGAAATTATCTCATGCGCATTATCAGATCATAGTGCATGAAGCTGGAAATAAATGCCAAAAGAAACCACAAAAACTACATAATGGAAATTAAATAACACTCTCCTGAACAAGGAATGGGTCACAGATGAAATTAAAGAAGACATTAGGTAGTTTTTACAAT